AATATTGTGTGAGAACAAACAAATGCCTCAAAAACATGCTTATACCACATTGTAGTATGGCTTCAGGGCTTTCATTTGAGCCCTACACCGTGGGAATCGGTGGAGATATGGTGGAGATACAAGGCTCACAAAATGGTGACTCATGCGGACAGTTTTTTGACTCAAGTATTTTACAGTAATAACCAGGTATTCTAGTATTTTGTATGACCTCCCTTGGCTTTAATTACTGCCTCTATCCTTCTAGGCATACTCTCAATTAATTTCTGGCAATCCTCAGCTGTGATCTTCCCCCATTCCACTGCTACTCTCTCCCAAAGCTCCCATACTCCTTTAGGGGGGTTTTCATAGGCTTGAAGCTTTTTCTTGAGTGTTCCCCAGAGATGTTCAATGACATTGACATCAGGAGACTGTGCTGGCCAGTCAAGAACATTGATGTTATGTTCTTCAAACCATTCCCTAGCTCTTCTGGATGTGTGCTTGGGATCATTATCCTGTTGGAAAATGATATCTTCTTCATCAATCCCTGATTCTGCCAAGCTAGGCAGCAAGTGGTCATTTAAAATGTCCACATACTGCTCAGCATTCATCTTCCCCTCAACCTCAGCAAGCATTCCCACACCATTCCATCCCATACAGCCCCATACCATTAAAGAACCTCCTCCAAACTTGACAGTCCCATTAACCTCTCTGTCTGTTAGGCCATCTCCCTTCTTTTTCCATACATACACCTTCCCATCTGACCCAATCCTATTGATTTTGGTCTCATCTGACCATATAACATGCTTCCAGTCCTCTACAGTCCAGTGTTGATGAGCTAAGGCAAAGGCTAGTCTTCTCTGCCTATGTTTGATGGAGAGAAGAGGCTTTTTCTTCTTTGTTACTGCCTTGAGATGAGCTGCCTTGAGAACATTCCTCACAGTTTGTGAAGAGACAGGGGGTAGTGATGGTGGAATTGATATAATGGGTGGCTTGGACAGCATTATCAGCCTTTCCTGTAGTGATATGTTGGATAATAGCCCTTTTGTCAGTAGAGGTAAGCTTGGATGGACGTCCTCCACAAGAGTTTTCCTTGTCTGGGTGGCTTTCTTTGATGAACTTGGCCACAGTGGACTTGCATATTCCAGTTCTAGAGGAAATTTGGCGAGCAGAGAGGCCAGCATAAGACAGAGAGAGGATATTATCTCTTTGAGCAGAGGAGATGGCTTTCATGGTGATTATGACTATGATACATGAGATATTCTGGTTTATATAGTTAGATATAGTCATAAAATAACATAATGACACCACTTTATAATTTATATAATAGTGGCATGATTTTTATGGTGTCATAAATAATGATTTATATAGTTTTAATATACACTCAAAAAACTGTCCACATGAGTCATCATTTTATAAGCCTTATATCTCCACCATATCTCCGCCGATTCCCACGGTGTAGGGCTCAAATAAAAGCCCTGAAGCCATACTACAATGTGGTATAAGTATGTCCTTGAGGAATTTGTTCATTCTCACACAATATCATAGATAGTGAAAAATGTCAAAACATGCGGACAGTTTTTTGAGCCACTGTATATGCACCTGCAACGCAGCCCAAAACCCGCACCGGGTTTGTCATTCCCATAACAGAGGTAACACATGCTGCAGAGTTGGTCCCAGTGTACAGAGAAGAGGTTGACCGTTCCTTGACTTCAGCGACATCTCAGGAGCACTATGACCACTTTATCTTAACCGTTATGCGGACAAGGAGATGTATAACGTGTTGCATGAATCATTGGACACTGAGTATACTCTTTAGGATTAATCTTATGCCACTGTTCTTTCCAATAGCAACGTCATTTGTAAACACAGTACTGTAGGCGCAATGATCTTGGTCCTCGATTAGATGCTTTTTGGATCGATAAGATGACCAACTCGCTGATAAATCTCGCCTGAGTGCTAACGTGATAATCGGACTGACCAACCAATCACATCCCTCCATCGCTGCGAATGTAAGTGTTCGTAACACGCTTAGCGTAGGCGAGAGAAGCCTTCATTTCAGTGGTTTTGCAGATGCACGACCATATAACTGTCTATATATAAAACACTCCCCACAATGTGCCATCGCCGCCGGCGAGGGACCCGTTTCGGCCGTTGCCGAACCGAACAGGGTGCAGAGATGATGCTGGACAATTGGCCATCAGGGAAGTGACGTGAAAATGGTAAAGTTTTGTCAAGCTTTACCTGATTTAAAATTTGTATAATATCTATCAAAATGATAGTTCACTAGAAAATGCTTTATATACCCAGAGTAAGTTGGATGAAAACTCCCAAAAGCACAATCATGATAGTCTACCTGCAATTACTTGCCATTTCTCACCAAATCGGCAAATGTTACCAACACTTGGCAGCCATGACAAAGTTTGATAATGTTGGGTGGCTTCAAACAAAAGCTAATTTTTCAACCTTTGTACACACATTTTATTCCAAAAAAAATTCATTTTGTAATTAAACAAACAAGATGTAAGTACATATATACATATATAACACTACAAAAGACAGAAAACGAGTATAAGAGGGAGGAGGGTCCACAAAGGAGGGTCCGCGAAGGAGGGTCCAAGAAGGAGGGTCCGCAAAGGAGGGTCCAGGAAGTAGGGTCCAGGAAGGAGGGTCCAAGAAGGAGGGTCCAAGAAGTAGGGTCCAGGAAGGAGGGTCCAGGAAGGAGGGTCCGCGAAGGAGGAACCAAGGAGGAACCGCGGAGGAGGGATCACCAGGGAGGAGGGACCACGAAGGAGGAGGAACCAAGGAGGAGGAACCATAAGGGAGGAACCAAGAGGGAGGGACCAAGAGGGAAGGCCAAAGAGAGTGAGAGTTCGAGATTCAGAGAGTAATTAAGTGGTGGTGGTAGCATTGAGAGAAGGAACTAGTAAGAAGACTCTAACGTTGAACTTTGAAAAAAATTCGGACTTACATAAGCATCCCATAGGGCCGAGCCTCTTGATCCCAAGTGGTCACTGGTGACCATAGGTGACCATGCAGTCGAGAAATGCTGGTACACTTGCCTATTTTCATCAGAATTATACATTTTTTGCCATATCTTACCCTTCGCTACCAATTTGCTTATCTTATATATTATTTTGTCTACTTTTGTCATTACATATAATCGCGTGAATTTTTGATCTGGTCTTACCAACTACAACTACAAAAACCGTCGCCTCGGCGATTTCCTGATGTGTTCATGATCACAGTTCCTCTACACAGACCAGTACCCTTTCAGGGTCCTGGAATATACCCAGACCGTCATTCGTGGTATCTGGTCGGACATTGGAACTAGTCTCAATTTTGACGATTGGCCCTAGTAGTGTTCTGCAAATGGCTGGAATGTTGTCACGGTATCTATGCTCATATGTAGTATTTCTGACAACTCGAACAACCGTTACAATATTTCACAGGTAATTCCAAGCTCTCCAACTTGAACGTTCTGAATCCGCAGGGGTATCCCTGAACACAAATATAAATAGACTGGATCCACCTCATTCATTTCTTCGAGCAGATAGGCTAAGTACTAAGTACAGTTGATACGTTCATATTGCATATCGTAACATTGCATATATGTTGTAATGCATGGACTTTTGAGGATCCCGACATGGGTGGGCTGAAAATGCAGACATAATGCATAACGCATAATGCATTGCTATTGTATGAATGATATGCACTATCAGAGGGTGGTAATTAGGGCAATGGAACATAAGTAGCACCCAAACCATTGTTCTCCAGCATTGTCCTGCTCAGCTATGTAAGCGTTGAATGGATATGATGTCCTGTATTCGTAAAAATGACCCTAAACCTGAAATGCAAGCCACGCGATAAGCCCGCCGCATACACTCGACCTAGATTGCTATCAGTACTATCATTCCCGGTAATATGTACACGGTTGCTGATATGCAAAACTTTATAACACTTCAACATCGTGCTCAACTGGTGTCGAAAAATTCAGGTGTATGCAGAGTACCTAGAAATGATGTTTTGTACAAGTAGAATAAAAATTTCTTGGATGTTGCAGCTGCGAGAGATGAAATAGTGATAATTTGCAACCTTGGTCCAACACAAATCACCCAGATCCCAAAGATCCTGCCAAGGTATTCGCAAAATTTTACCCGGAGCATAATGAACACCTTATAGGGATGTAAGAACACCAACTCGATAAAGGTTACTCTCTTGTGTTGAGGTGCTACAGTGGTAGAATCAACGACGAGTACAAAAACGTGACACCAGACAGGGGAGATGCGTAAGTAATTCAATCTCCTCCTCGGCACATCCGGCATCTATCCTCTGCAGCAGTCAAGTTCTCACAGAGTCGCATCATTCTCTCCAATGGCACCACACCGCAGGCAAGCAGTCCAGACAAAAGCCGAAAAAGATGCCATTCGCGAGGCCAACATCAAAGCTGCTATCCAAGCTGTTAGAGAGAAGAGGGCTAAAAACCTCTCAGCTGCAGCTGGCCAGTTCAATGTGCCATACCATACCCTTCGTCGACGTGCACAGAACCTTACGAAACCTCATTCAAAGGCCCACAAATTCCAAAGCGAGATCGGCGAGCAGAACAGGAGCGTTCCCAAGCTGCATTCACCGGCACAATCAAGACCAAGAAGCTGGAGGAGCTACGCGACTTAGCCGCAGCCTTGCGGTTACCTGAGACTGGACTCAAGGCTGAGGTGTTCCAGCGGATTCTCCAGCACTTTGACGGCAACCCTGACCTCAAGAAAAATCCACGGTATGAGGGTTTATTCAACCCTACCCGTTCTCGCAGGCGCCGTCTCGATAACGGTGATAACACTGCGGAATTACCGCAGGACGCGATTCCCCCATCAAATCCAGTTCGCGAGCCGTTCGGATACCAACCTCAGCCTGCACCTCAACCCTCGATGTCGAGAAACGAATTTCCCCCACCTGGGTATGCACCCCTACATTATCCAATGCAGCATCCTGCACCTCAGCCTCAATATATTTCGCACCCTCACTTTGCACCGGCGAGTCGCAGTAGCGCAGATTTCCGAGTTGGTGATATGGTGCAGACTCAGCACAGGTATGCAGGGCATCAATTTTATCCAGAAGGCTATCAGCAACACCAGTACTACAATCATAGTCAGTAGTAGATGAACCATGGTACTCAATGATTTGCCGTATCCACCGTTTTCGAGCCTTTCGCGATCCACAACGCTTCAAGAAGTTCAAAGTTTCAAGCCTGCGCTCGGAGAGTGAAAGTCACCTGTGCCGCTACTGTGCCGAGGCGTGACAAGACGTGACCATACTTTTTGCAGATTAGAGGTGGACCCTGAGTTTTTATCGGGTTTTGCTCCGACACCACACCACATTATCCTAAAAATCAGTAAAAATCAGATCTATGTAGAGGAGATACGAATACATGATGGGGCAAATTTTCAAAAGAAAATGTGATGTGGTTGAGGAGTTACAAAAGATTTACTGAAAGTTTTGCATATAACCGGGAATGATAGTAGCTGGTACCTAGACTTGCGGAGTTTGAGCTCACCTCGGCTCTCCCTCGCACAGGTTGGGGCCGCTATTGCGGCCGGGTCGCCCCTTCGGGGCTTCCACTCAAAAAACTACTCGCTTCAATAGAGCAAACATTTCCTTTTGTTTTCGCTACTACTACTAAGTAATACCGCTACACAACAGTAAACACAAAGTCCGTGGATTGATACAGAACGCAACAAAAAATGAACGCGAAGATACTTGACTAAACGGTCACAAACTAAATACATCATGACGCTGGCAGATGATAGAGACAACATCCGCGGTGTTATCCGGCATCCTACTAGTGCTCCTGCCAGTCTTGTGTAAGTAAAACACTATTTGATTCATTTCCGACGTTTTGATGGGCTATTAGAGGTGTCCGATTCGAGTGCATTGTTGCTATTGACCGGAAACTCATCCAAAGTTCGCTTGCTAGATGTGCCAACATGGAGTTGCAGTGGTTGTTGGGCCTCGGAGAGGGGAAGGGCGGCTGAAGCTTCCGTTGTTGAGAGCCGGGAATTGGGTCCGATGGCTGGCTCGGACAACCGTTCATTAGGCTGTGCGTCGACGGTTCATACTGAGGATGAGAGAGAATTAAAAGAGGTTTCACAAAATGAAAAAGAGTCAAACCTGATGCGAGGCAATAACCTTTGCAAGTTTCTGCCCCTCGGATAGAATATCAAGACAAGACCGCAGTCCCTTCAAGCACCACTGCCGTTCGAGCCAGGGAAAGGAGGTGACGATTCCAGAAAACCTGAAATATATGGTTGAGAGTGCCGTCCCATGGATTGGGAGCACGCGACAGGTGAACGACCCAGGTTTTGAGATGCATACTTGAGAGCTTCGGAAGATGATTGACTTCGTTCCTGTGCCCGTTTGCGAAAGCTGTAAAGAGCTTCATAGCACGAATAATCTCCCTGTCAGGAACTTCTGGCGATGCAGAATTAAATGATCTTGAGGTATCAACGCCAGGAAGGTCGGAAACATCAAGAAATCCGGTAAGCTTTTGAACTGCTGGACTACTTTGAAGGTTGGCAGCAAAGCCAATTCTGGGGACAATGATATAGTTGCTGATTGCTTCCAATGTACTCGAGAATTCTTCCATAGTCGCCCATACGGACCCCGCAGGAGTGGATTGCCAACGCTTGGCCACGAGTCGTCTGAGCCAGTTTCGCCCCGCCCAGGGTCTGCAGCCACTCTCTTCCTCCCTCGGCCTGCAACCAATCTCGTTCTCCCCAGATCTGCAGCCACTCTCGTCCTTCCTCGGCCTGCAGCCAGTTTCGTCCTCCCTCGGTCTGCCAGCCAGTTTCGTCCTCCCACGGTCTGCAGCCAGTCTGGTCCTCCCTCGGTCTGCACCCAGTTTCGTCCCTCCGTCGGTCTGCAGCCACTCTCGTCCTCCGTCGGTCTGCAGCCAGTCTAGTCCTCCCCAGGTCTGCAGCCACTCTCGTCCTTCCTCGGTCTGCAGCCACTCTGTCCCCCGTCTGTCTGCAGCCAGTCTCGTCTTGCCCGTGGTCTGCAGCCACCACACTCGTCCTCCGTCGGTCTGCAGCCACTCTCGTCCTTCTTCGGTCTGCAGCCAGTCTCGTCCTCCGTCGGTCTGCAGCCACTTTCGTCCTCCCTCGGTCTGCCAGCACTCTAGTCCTACCCAGGTCTGCAGCCACTTCGTCCTTCCTCGGTCTGCAGCCAGTCTCGTCCTCCCTCGGTCTGCAGCCAGTCTCGTCCTTCGTCGTCTGCAGCCACTCTTGTCCTCCGTCGGTCTGCAGCCACTCTCGGCCTCCCTCGATCTGCAGCCACTCCCGTCCTCCCTCGATCTGCAGCCAGTATCGTCCTCCCTCGATCTGCAGCCAGTATCGTCCTCCCTCGGTCTGCAGCCACTCTCGTCCTCTCCAGCTCTGCAGCCACCCTCGTCCTCCCTCGATTTTCAGCCAGTCTCGTCCTCCCTCAGTCTGCAGCCAGTTTCGTCCTTCGTCGGTCTGCAGCCAGTTTCGTCCTTCGTCGGTCTGCAGCCAGTTTCGTCCTCCCTCGTTCTGCAGCCAGTTTCGTCCTTCGTCGGTTTGCAGCCAGTCTGGTTCTCCGTCGGTCTGCAGCCACTCTCGTCCTCCCTCGGTCTGCAGCCACTCTCGTCCTCCCTCGGTCTGCAGCCACCCTCGTCCTCTCTCAGTCTGCAGCCAGTTTCGTCCTTCGTCGGTCTGCAGCCAGTCTCGTCCTTCGTCGGTCTGCAGCCAGTTTCGTCCTGCCTCGGCCTGCAGCCAGTTTCGTCCTGCCTCGGCCTGCAGCCAGTCTGATCCTCCCCAAGTCTGCAGCCACCCTCGTCCTGCTCCGTCTGCAGCCACTCTTGTCCTGCCTCCGTCTGCAGCCACTTTTGTCCTCCCTCGGACTGCAGCCACCACTCTAGCCCCCTCTCTCTGCAGCCAGTCTCTTCTCTCCCGATCCGCAGCCAGTCTCGTCCTCCTTCTGTCTGCAGCCACTCGTCCTCTCCAGGTCAGCAGCCAGTCTCGTCCTCTCCAGCTCTGCAGCCAGTCTCGTCCTCAGGTCTGCAGCCACCCTAGTCCTTTCTCGGTCTCCAAGCCAGTCTCGTCCTCCTCGATCTTGCAGCCAGTCTCGTCCTCCTCGGTCTGCAGCCACTCTAGTCCTCCCCAGGTCTGCAGCCACCCTCGTCCTCCTTCGATCTGCAGCCAGTTTCGTCCTCCCTCGGTCTGCAGCCACTATAGTCCTCCCCAGGTCTGCAGCCACCCTCGTCCTTCCTCAGCCTGCAGCCACTCTTGTCCTCCCTCGGTCTGCAGCCAGTCTCGTCCTCCCTCGGTCTGCAGCCAATCTCGCCCATTCGTGGTCTCCACCCAGGCACATCCGTCCACAGTCCTCAACCAATAGTGTAAATCTGAAATACGATCTCCCCGAAGCCATAGCATACAGATGAGAACTGATAGTGGTTTTGGTGGCCGAACAAGGAAGGACAGCGAATCTTTAATCGATGGGGGTCCTCAGGTTGCATAGCTTGGCTCTGTTCTCCAGTTCTGAGAGCGCATCCAAAAGAGCCGTGGTTCCCGGAATATTTTTCATCATCAGGCGAAAAGAGGAATCAGCGAGTAGGGAGTGGGGTGAGGCAATTGTGTTCGCGTACTTGAGGGAGGCTGCAGTTGAGGGATCGGAAACATAGTCGCGAATGGACGAGTGATAGATATTCACGGGGAGAGTGCCGTCTGTAGGGATATCCATGACGGACCGTAGCTGTATCAGCGTTGTCTGCACATCCCTGCCCAAACCAGGGCCAAGAAGTGTCGAGATTTGCGAGATGGGAAGAGGGTCTGCGAGGGCCGTGACGATGGACAAGTGCATGTAAGCCCGCCTTGGGTCAGCACACGTGGAGAGGATAGAGTCGTATAACTTGTACACCTCCGTTCCCGCTAGCAGCTCGCTCGTCAGCCTGAGCATCAGCTGTAACCGATCGTGGGGATCCTTGTCTTCATCGTCGATGATGAACTTCATCATTGTAGACGCCACGATGAAACGTCTGCCAGCGGCTCGCCAGCTGTGCGAGTTCATCCTCGTCGGTGAGGAAAATCGGGATGGCGACTTTCTAGCTCCGCGAAGGAAGGAATGCGCAAGAAAATATAGATATCCGCGTCGACATCGGCGCCGTCGAGCGAGATGATGGCAGCAACGCCCTCCCCAGAAGTTTTCACTGGTATTTCGCACAACAACGGCCGCACCTCGTCGTTATGAAAGGCTTTACAAATATGCGCTTCCGAGCGACTCGTAAGCAGAACGTGAGTCACGGGAAGGTCAGGGTCACGAAGAGCCCGTGCGAGGGAGAGGATGAGATCGATAAGCTCGGGTTCGGATGTGCATTCATCAAGGGCATCAATAACAAACGTCAAAGGCAGACACTCGCGCAGCCTGGATCGAAGCAACCGGAGAGGTTTGAGAAAGAGAGACTCCATCTGGTCACGTAGAGGTGTGTCGGGGTCTAGTAGAGCTGGATTGTCGCGGATGACTCTGTTTACATCCTTCCGAATGGATGGAAAATTGTTGGCAAGTTGGTAGGCAAGCGTTGCAAAGAAATATCCAGCCGTGCAACGTTTCGTGTGCTTGCGCGAGAAAAAGAATGTTCCCACTAGCCGCTTTTCGACATTCGTCTCCTCTGTTACCTTTAGATCTTGCATCCTCTCAGCTACGGTGAACGCGACGGCAGACTTTCCGACACCTGCCGTGCCATGCAGCCATATAAGTTTATTCTTCTTCTCTTCGTCTAGTATTTGGTGGATGTATTTGAGGAAATCCACCCGGGTCCCTTTCAGACACTTCGGGTGAGGCTGACGTTCACGGGAGTTATATTGAGCACCCTTGACAGCAACTTGGGACAGCCTTGCCCAAGTTCCTTCAAACGATGGAAGAACTGTCAAAAGGGTGAGAAAGCAAGAAAGGGACAATAATGGGAAAAACTGACATTGTTCCTCACTCATTCACAAAGATTGTGGTGTGCGTGTGATGAAATGGACAAATTGAGAATACTAGCTGGGTGTGGTTAGAAATCATCTGGGCGATATTTTATCTCCAGGGACGACGTACTAAGACTTGAAGGATCTTATGGAGTCAAAGTAAGTTGTCAACTTGGGGTCCCAAAACGCGATGGAGAATCGAGTTGGGGTGGGAGGTTTCAATATATGTAAAGCTTGCTGGATAGTGAGATACAATTCAAGGACGAGTGGGGCTTGTCCGGTTGCAGGAGGTCACGAGGTTGCTGTGCATGCTGTGACCGATACTGTCTTCAGATATGTTGAAGTAATACAAATAGAGAGAGATCCTTGTACAAAAAAACCTGTAAATTTTGCAATCTAAGGCGCAGCGTTGTGTTCGAATTCCATCTCGACTCCTAGCTAAGTCAGATTCTTACCAGCAATATTATGATTCAAAACACTGCA